AAGAGGAGCTAAGCGACTGCCGCCATTGCATTTGCAAGCCTGATCTACAATATAATACAGATCCCTCTGCTATAATGATATGTGAGAAAGATACTAAAATTCTAGAATAATGATGAGGGCTTCTTCATAATTTCTTCGCGATGTTTACTCTGAATCACCCCTTGAGTCTTAGCAATCTTGCTTTCTCACCAGCGGAATGGGTCTTCGTATCCTCCTCTGCCAAATCCGGGTCGAGTTTGAAGCTGGAAGTGTGTAAATATATTTTTTTTCTCGTCTTACAAAACTCAATTTTTGACCTTCCGTTTGGATAATTACTTACTCACTTAGATCGCTCTTTGATGCAAAGACGAGTGGACTCCAACATTGCTCTTCGTTGTATTCGAGCTGCTGTTTCTGATTCGGTCACTTTTGTACCAGCATTTGCGTCTTAGATTATTTCCGRACTAATCAATTACTGTACATGGACTTTTGCTTACATCGATCGAATTCTTCAAATTGAGTACGAAGTACTGTAGTATTGTAGAGCGCAATCATCTTTTTGTTTTGTCGGCGGTCGTTTTTTGTTCAGCATTACTTTTAAAAAATGGTACGGGTACCAAGTACGGTGTTTTACTTCCCTCTGAAACTGTGTTCTGGTGATATCTTTCGAAGAAAAGATACCTTTGTGCCATTCTCGGAAGGGGGAATTCGGATTTTCATGAATCTCTCCCCTGAAATACTGCTCGATGGCAACCTAACGTAGAGTACGTAAGAGTATGTAGACGGGCCGTACAATGGAKCGAGATCATAAAAATAATCTTAAAAACCAAAAACACCAAAACTCAGCAGACGTCCAACTGTCAGAGAAGACGTCAGTGGACGTTTCTGAAGGCACCATCATCTCGATGATTTGTGATTTGTGTATGGTCGATTTTCCAAAACAGTGAATCTACCGACCACGACAGCAACTTTCCGTCATTTCCCTGAAATCCGGTAATATCGCTCAGTACAATACCCTACCGTAGGTGAGATATGTATTCACGTCTCTTTTGGGGGAGGTGATGGAGGGGCAAGAAAGTCGAGTTGTCTTCTATCATGAAGTTTTATCGTACCGTTACGGCATGCCGTGWTGTACGGTATGTTGTTGTATTCTGTGTTCACTCAGGCCTCTTTAACTCGTGACGGCAAATCTTTTCTGAGTTCATCCTTCGAAGCTAACAAAATTGTTCCGACTACCATTAGATAACACAATGAATACTTGCAATTTRAAGATGAAAGTACCCATCGCAGTTGCTGTGTTTGCTGTTTCCTGCAGCTCAGTAATGGGATTCGCCCCTGTCCATCACAGCAACCAAATTTGCGCGATTTCTGCAGACCCTCAGGCACCAACTGCAACATGTCTTTACGCTGGTGGTTTCGGTGGCGGTGGCATGGGCAAGAAATCAGGAAGCAATAAGAAGAAGAAAAATTCCAGCAAGGAGATCAAGCTCAAACCCAAACAACAATGGGATCGTTACTCTGAATTCAAGCGAGAGCCGAAAATCCAAGTGGCTGTCCGCATCAAGGAGGGTGGTTCAGATGAATGGCTAGAAGTTGGCCGGGTCAAGAGTAAAGATAACAAATTCATCGAGGCCGCCGTCTTTCGGCAGCGCGCTATTATTGCCGAGGTAAGTTATTTTGTTCCCTTGTAACCCACTTGGTGAAATTGAAGGGCCCGGCTCATGTTTAGTTGCTGTTGAATAATTCGATGTTTTCGGAAAAAATAGCACGCAAAACGCTTGTATCCAGTGCAACTGTCCAGCAAGAAAAGCCTCGAATGGGGATACAAGTCAAGCGAAGAGGCTGAGGAAACCACCGAATGGAAAGCTGTTGACAAGTCTAGCATGAACGAGGTGGTGGAACTTGATGGATTCGAAAAAGTGATCGGCTTCGAGGGACGTCCTGATCCGTCGTCCGGATTTTACTGCGTCTATGATGGTGGTCGATTGAAGATAGGCGAGGAGACATCTTTTGTGTAAATAATAGCTCAAGTTAAGACGAAATGCTTTGAATTATGATTCATCATTACTATCAAGAACGAGATAACTAAAAAGATCAACGATGCCAAGTTCAAAATACTACTGCTGCTCATATGTGTAGTAGAGCATCTCTATATTGGATCGGTGAAATAATTTATTTCGCTGTAGTTCGTTGCATTGCCAAGCAATTCGCGAAGAATTTCCGCGTGCACTCGTAGTTACCGTCAATATATGAGTTTGACTTTTTTGTTTCCGATGCGATGAGCCGCAGATGTCCACATAGAGTACGAGTACTCTGGAATGAAATATCGCTATATTTTAGACGCTAATAACAAACAATCGAGCGAAACCGGCTTACYCGCGCATAATAACTGGTTACTGGTCCCATCAACTTCCTACYTTGCCTCGAAAGCTACAAAATCGCATSTGCGAACATAGAAGATTTTGAAACGCCTCTTTGACTTCATTTCCTCGAATCAATCTCATTTTTTGGTTCTTGTTTTATACTGCTGATTGATTATAAACAWTCCTTTTCTCTCTTTGATTTGAACCAAGACGAAGTTTAGACTTCGGGGATGCTGRCTGTTATMGTGTGCGTAATTCGACAATCTTGCGACTGGGCCGTGTCCTTGAAAGTCGTTCCTTTGCGTGCGATCGCAACGATTCTGTGTTCTCCACAAAAAAAAACTCCTACAAGTGTTGTAAGAGAAGAGACCAACACAGTAGTCCTATWGAGAAATAATGGATCATCGTAGATGAGAACGAATCACCAGAGGAAGCCGCGGTCGTAACTTTCGGAACGGGCGTGTAGATATAGTTCGACGAGGGAGCCTCTGACGGCGACGATGTTGGTCCTGATTCGACTTCCTTCTGGCKTGGAAGTCGGAACACAGTAGTTTGCAACGACTCAAACTGAGAATCTCCCGTGACAAAGGATTCCAACACACCTCCGTGGCTGTACTCCGCGGAAAGGCTCCAGCTACCACTCGGATAATCGGGGTTGACAAAATCCGGATTGTTCAAACCATCGCCACCCGCATCGCGGACCTCCAGCACATAGTTTCCTGGTTTCAGCCAAAAACTGCTACGAACGCGAGCTCCCCTCTGGGGTACATATTCGGGCCCGACGTATTCGATCGATCCATTCTGTGCGTTTCGAACGACAAATATAGTCTCCTCGGCCAAGAAATCGTGCTGAAACTCGAGGGTCACCTTTGCAATGCCAGAGGGGATGATTCCGTTGGGATTTTGCTCGGCTTGGAAATTTTGAAAGGCCTCGGATTGCCGGTATTTAGAACATTCCGGGGGTGGAACTCTGGAATACTTGCAGACTTGCACGGTGATCCAGTCCGCAAAATAACTGACCCGTGCAAACCCATCTGGAATCATGTCGCTCTGGCAGTCATTCCCAAAACTGATAATTCCAACTAGCACAGGCACATCAACCACGAAATCCGCAGTCTGAGAGTCAGTCCAGGGGGTATCRCTATCGCTTCTACCSCCGATGGCGCTGTGTTCGATGACATCTCCGTCGYTTGTAACCMCTACTTCCAACCGAGCCGTCAGAGGCCCCCCACTGTCCCCGAGACAGATGCTCTCGTCGGTCGATGGATCAGCACACAAAATGTCCTCTGTGACGGCAGCATTGGTGTTCCTCCCGAATCTCTCGAAGCACTGATCGTTGGTGAGAGCGGAAAAYAGGCCAATCTCTAGACCATCCGCTACGTCTCCGGTTTCTGTGATCCCGAGACCCAGACCTTCCAACAACGAAACTGGTSCARGAACCTCGTCTTTCTTTGTTTCCCGCCGGATGGGAAAGTCTGGATCGTAATTGAGAGCGACTGGCTGGACGTCGACGACGGGGGATTCGAGCCTCATGACCATAATGTCGTAATTTATCGAATCGGATCGGTAATAGGCGGGGTAAGCAATCTGTAGATCTACGGTCTTGTACTGATCCAGTTCGCCAGAGAAGGGGTTATAGGCCATGACCCCGTAATTGAATGCGCCTTGACAATGCGCAGCGGTCACTATCATGTCGGAGTGTATGAGAGAGGCTCCGCACAGAACATCATTCGTTAGTCTYACGCTGTCGGGCCAGGATCTAAGAAAAAAGGGATGTTCGGACAGAGCAACGGGTTCACCGTTGACAAGGAGGTTGCGCTTGGCATAATTCCGGTGTACCTTCAGGTCCAGCTTTGGTTGAGATCCCTCGGCATTGATATCGGAACCGCCCACAAAAACAGCAACATCGGTGGAGATAAAAGCAAGCAGGACGAGATGCATCAGAACAAACGAGGCCAATGGAAATGCACCAGAGAAAATCCCCTTTCCTCTTCGCATCTTATCACCACCATTTTGATAAACTCCGACACAGTTGCACGATGCTATCATCGATTCAATTCGATTGGGCTAGCAGTCAATCAAAGAGAAGAAATGATTATTTTTGTGAATATGTGCACGTCGTCATCGAGGACTGGTAGCTGCCGCGTTTGCGTCTAATATTATCGCATTGTTTATCATGTTACCGTTCGATACAGTCAGTATTGCTGTACGGTACGGTTAGTACGGTAAAGAATGAGTATCAATTTTATTGGGCCGACTACGATCGACGTTAGGGCGATGTACGACTAAAAAAGCGTCGAACTACGKTGCGGTAACGCGTCAAGCACGTTCCAGCGAAAAAATTAGTGGCTTAGCGTATGATTTACTGTGCTTTTACATAGCGATAAATATAAGTTTCGTTTCCATCGCGGTGAAAACAATTATGAGACGATTAGTGACGATACCGCTAGGACAAATTGTACGAGTACGAGTACAGGCCAGCACCTCATCGTGCTATCTGGTTTGCTAGGATCGGATAGGAGATAACTGGTACTACTGGTAGTAATAGTAGTACTAAGCAGCAACAGAAATTTTGAGGAAAATAATATGTACGGCACAGTACGGTACTGCACTAGAGTACCAGGTAGTTCTTGTTTTTGGAGGTGACTTGGATCTCGGAAAATTTTTTAAAAAAAAATACAGCCGTTATATTGCCAGTATCTTACCATTTTGGGGCTTACGTTACAGTAAGCAGCTCCAATACAGAAAAGCCGATCAGTCGAGCCGAAATCACTGCTAAAATATTGAATTTGAGGTTTACTGTAGTCGTGTGAAGCTCYGTAACTTCTAGCGGCTGTAYGGAGAAGAAAGAACAATAACGTCGAATTTTTGAATGTGACACGCATGCCATCGAGACACCTTCTGTCAAGGAGGTATGAATTYGATGTGTCTTTCTCACGTTGAGCACGAGACGATACTAGCAAGGATACATGATGGTAAAGTACTTAACTCCGAYACAATACGGGACACTAAGTGTGCAAGAACTTTCCTAACAATAGAGTGCAACGACCCACACAACATCGAGCAAAGATAGAAGGAACGATCCAATGCCGAACAAAGAAGACGCTTCGTGCGTCAACGAGAAAAAGGGACTCCTTCAGGACTGCTTGCCGGGCGTCACGCTTCCGAATGGCAATGTATACAACTACCAGCAACAACGCCATGATGATCCTTCCCGTTCATCGTCGTCTTCTCTCCAGCCACCCCACGAATTAGATCAATTGCAGCACCACATCTTGGTTTCAAAAATTTCCATGAACCAACATCGAACCGACCAAGATTCGATTTGCACAGGAGATATGAACGACGCAGAATCCCCGCCGTCGATACAMGTGCTGTAYATTGACAACATGGACGGGCAMAAAGMATTCCAAAAGGGTCGCACCTTTCGGGGGTACGGAGACGACTTTGATTTCGACGACATGGCGTCGTTCTCGGTTTCRATCCGCCAGGCCGCGGCGACTTCCGAAGCCAGAAGACGGACGGAGCAGCGACGTTGTTTCTCTCTGAAACTGATTYTGGTAGGAATGGTCTTGCTGATGCTATGGGACCGATTCCAGYCAACGAACACCAGCAACAACATCATCAAGCCAATGCATCGCAGCGATGTTCCCTCGCAAGCTGGTRCTCATCAACAACGGTTTCGACTCTACACGCACTGGAAGAACAAAATGGACGTCAATTCGATGCACGACAAAGGGCAGCAGCAACTCGATGAAAGAAATAACCACGACGACGAGAAAAGAAGGCAGATTCTGGTAGTTCTGAAAGACCTAGACGAAGCCATCGAGGGCGATATTGTCTTGAGATCCAACAAGACAAAATTCCAGAACGCCGCAAGGGCATGGAGGCGAGAAGACTTTGTCATTACCGAGAACGACGCGTCGTGGTCTTCAGACGCAAACGAAAACCTTCTGCCTCTTGCTGTGGTCGAAGCGGCGACACTCCGAGACGTGCAGATCACGGTGCCAATTCTGGCGGGGTTGCAGCGCGATTACCAGCTGGGTTTTCGCGTTCGATCCGGCGGATATGCCTACATGAGCGGATACAGCACGATTCCTGGCGGTGTGGTACTGAGCTTGGCCAAACTGAACAGCATTGAATTCTTGGACGACAACCTACTAGGTGCAATGCACAGCGATAACAATGAAGAGGTAGGATCTGGTGGTATTGGCAGGATTGATGGGKTTCTCGATACTACCAAGGGAGTTGTCGCGGAAGAAAACCATACARAAGGAACAGTCCCGCGATCTATCGCAAATCCCAAGACCGTGAGGATCGGACCGGGAGTCCGAACCGAGCAATTTATGAAAGATGTATTGGATACGAATGGCTACAGCGGTATCGTGGCTTCTGCTGCCAGAGTGGCAATGGGAGGGTATGTTGCGGGAGGTGGGTACGGACTACAGTCTCGGATGTATGGGCTAGCCATCGACAATGTCTTAAGCCTTCAGACAGTGCTGGCAAGTGGGRAGATCAAGAATGTCACGGTAGGTGACGATCTGTTCTGGGCTCTTGCAGGAGTCGGTGGTGGCAACATTGGTGTTGTAACGTCGATGGAGTATCGCGTGTACCCCTCGCACGATATCAAGTTGGCGGGTAAGTTTTTTCCATCGGTTGGTATGCATACCTTGTGCCTGAGCAACGGTGCAATTGTGACAAAATCTAATGCAACCACGCACTACTTTTCCTTTTCGRTCAATAGCAATCGTAAAAGTGTCTTTGGCAGAAATGACCCAATTTCTCCGACGATTGGGAGAGAAGGAAGCCGATCTCTCTCCAGAGTTCACGCTTAGCATTCAAGGGCTCAAATCATCAAACAAYAGAACGTTTTCGGATTTTTCCCAGGTCGTGAGGACAAATACAGACCTTGCACAAAATATTGAAACCAAGGACTTCAACGAAGAAGAAGACTGGCTTGTTAAGATATCTATGTTTTGGATGGGAGATTCCAACCCAGACGATCCAGTTGGGGCGGAATACATCAAGAAAGAAATCATCCCACTTTTCTCAAATAGCTCTGCTCTGGAGGACATCTCTTACTACTACTTCTCGTGGTCGGGCATGTCCCGAGAACGAGAACAACGTCCCGAATCCAAGTCGGTATGGTCTGCACAGTCCTGGAATGGCTTCTTACTACCCGGAAACAACACAGAAGAGGTGTGGGCCGACATTGAATCGAGTTTGTCCGCAATGATTTTGTATTGCAAGTATGTGTCGCTCCGGGTCGAGCTTTGGGGTGGAGCCATTTCAAAAATCCCATTCAACGCTACAGCCTTTYCCTATCGAGAGGCTATCTATAACATTGGCATCGACTTGTTGGTACCTACCAAGAGCGAGGAAGATGCCGCCTCGGACGAGATGCATCTCGTGAACGCCATTTGGCCATCGATTGCGCGGCATTTAGATGGAGCATTCGTCAATTATCCGATGGCGAGTCTATCAAGCGAATCCTACGCCTCGGCATACTGGGGAAAGAATCTAGATCGTCTCATAAAATTGAAAGACAGATACGATCCCTCTGGCGCTATCCAAACTGCACAGAGCATTCCGATACCAAGAAATACWAGCAGACGCTAATGCATTGAACCCCCATGGGTCTGCATTAATGAACTTTATGTTTGTGGAAAACATATTTGAATCATGGCAAAAATGAAGGAGCAAGCTGTTGAAGATCTTTTCATCTTTCAACTATCAGTATAGTATATCAGAGTGAATAACTAAATTTCATTAATTTTCATGCATCCCATGCACTTYATCTTGAACGCTTTCTAAGATTATTATCATAGAAATATTGTATTCTTAATGGGGTTTAGAAACGAGGACAAAAAATCACATGCGTATAATCAAAYCCTCCTTCATACTTTTTCCTCACTGTTAGTAAGATACAGAACATGATGTTTKGGGGTGCAATTATCCGGCGACATTTTTAGCAATTGAACGTGGTATCCATTCTCTTTCGCCCACAAAGCGCGGTCGTATTCGATGAGSCATTTTGCCTCATAAATTCCCGAATCYTCCGCCGCCTTGCTCATKGATAAGTATTCGTCCTGATTCATTAATTTCCCAATATATGAACTTCGGGGGTACTTGTATCCGCAAGTCGTTTTTGAAGTCATGGCACCATTGCAACATGGGCAAACTATACAATCTGCGCCCTTTATTTTGGCCAAAGACATGACCATATCCGTAAAGCTCCCGCAGCAGTGCAAACCAATGGCAATGTCAAATTCTTTCGATGACATTTGTGCCGAGGACACTTGGGGTGTTGATGCTGGCGTCATTTCGGTGCCGGGGGGCAAAAATAAGTCCGTTTTCATGGATGGCATTGGTGGAATGGAAAAATCGTCTAGATTGGAGGGCGAGAAAGAATAWTGCAGAGTCTGCACATTTTTCAAGCCGGCTTGGTTAGCCCTACGCTCGGCTAGCTTTAAAGGATAGGGCTTTTTATCGACCAAAACAAATCGAACATTCGAAAAGTAGGGTGCTAGCGCCAGACATAAATTGCCACTTCCACTGCCGAAATCTACCACCGTGAAATAAAAATTATTCTTATTGGTGWTGCCCTTCTGTTCCACTGTGAACGAGGAGAGTCGGTCCCACAAAATTGATACGAAATTTTCCACTTGCCAAGCCTTTCGCTGCCCACGGTCGTTGCTCAAGAGCGATATCCCTTCTCCGGTATTGCTAGCATTATTGCCGTTCTCTTCATTTTCCCCTTGCTTCTTTGCTGGACCGTGCTTGGTTCGCTTCCCGTGTTTTTCCCACAATTCCTCTAGTTCGGCCTGGGTTATTTTGCCCCTTTCCTTTTTATATTGGAGCTTTCGTCGGTATTTTTCACTATGGTACCGATCCATTTCTAGCTCGCGCTTATCCGATATTTCTCCTTCCAAAACTGCCTTATGGGGGCTGCAAATGGRAGGAATTCTATCCCAAAACTTCCTGAAGGCAGTCTCGGGGCGAGGAATGGGTCGATACAAATCAGAAATTCCTTTTGATTTCTTCGTATCTGTGTTGGTCACACTCAAATCGGCGCCTTCGTCGTTATGCACATTGTCAACTATTGCGAAGGGTAAATTTTGGTAGGGTGGAAGCCGGTCGAGAACTTCTTGACAAGCGAGACGTTTTAACTCTTTGTTTCGAGCCCGTTGTCGCTTCTTGTGTCCCAAACGATGATCAGCATCACGCTGAATCATCTGTTGTCTTTTCGAGGATTGAAGAGATGGAGCAAGAGACGCTGGCATGATCTGTTCGTGAAAAGAGAGATTCTCCACTTTCACTGCCGTTCGTAAGATACCGATGGATTCTCGTGGTTGCGGTAGTAGTACCGCTCGTTTTAAAAAAATACGCTATGGACCGTACTGTTTTGTGACTCCAAGTTTGATGTCCCCTGTCCTGTGTCTCCTGTCGACTGGGAATATGCTCCACATTCCACAGGGTGATCCGAAATTGTTGTGTCGTACGAGTACGAACGAGTATTACTTGTACTTGCACGAGCACGAKCACAATTATTCGTACMAGTATTTTCAAAATTCCCAGATTTTGATGGACAGCGTGAGATCAAAAACTAGGACCTTTTTCAACTCATATCCTCGTTTTCCAATTTACAAAAATTTACAAAAACTCATTTCCTTGCATGGATGCATTTTTAGTCAATTGTAAATTCATTTCCTTGCATTCTCTAAATAATTCAAATTATGCCATTAAATAACAGGGAAAAAATGGCATCAATT